GAGCCTCTGAAAGTAGTGGGCTAAAATCAGCCAGTTGTCGAGATAATTGAGTATGCGGATGCCCGCGAGCCGAAGGGGCGCTAAGGCACCCCCCGCGAGTTTGGTGAAGACCCGTGGAGACAGAGAGAGCCCGAGGGGGAGGACCTTGTATTGCCATGCTCGACCCTTGCATGCAAACCATAGAAACTGCCGGTGGCGTGGAAGAATGGAGACATGAAAATACGCGTCCTTCAGGTCTATGGCTGCAAACCAATCCTGAGGACGAACGGATCGGAGGATGCGCTTCTGCGTAAGCATTCTGAACGGCAGCTTGTGAAGACCTAGGATTTGCCATGACCCACCGCTCTTTTTGGGTTCGATGAAGTACGGGCTGTAGAACCCGCTCTCCATCTCGGCTGGAGGAACCGGCTCGATTGCACCCTTCGCCAGGAGGGCACCAATCTCCTCTCACAAGACAGGGGCGGACAGGGAGGTGACCCTCGTGAAATACCCCGTGAACTTGGGGGCCGTTTCGCAAACTGGCTCCGCACCCTGACTCCGGAGAGGGGGCTCGAGGGCTGGGAGAAAGGAGACCCTCCCCCCAGCGCTCGAGAGCCGCTGGCGGAGCATGTAGACCCTGCGAGCTGAGAAGCGGCACGTCCGAGACTGGCAGGGCTTGAGCTGTCACATCCGGGGAAGAGGAAAAGTGCTCTTTCATTGAATTTTTGGTGGCACTGAAAGTACCGTTGGAATATGGGCCCCGCCCTCCAGCGGGGAAAGAGCAAGTTTCCTCCTCTCCGGATGGCCTGTCTCAGGGACGCTTCGTGGTCCATTTACCGGACTTAGCGGCGCCCTGGGCAGGAGGGGCTGCCGGCTTTCGACATGCTCAACCCCTCGGCGAGGAGCAGCGGAGGTGGATGGGCTTACGATAGATGACATTGCCCATCGCATCCGACTGCTCCTTCACCGCCTTGAACTCCTGGGTGAATTCACTGATGGTGTCGCCGAACAGGCCAGCCTGGGATATGGGCGTGTCAAGAAAGCGAACTTTGTCAACATCGCGCATATCAGCCAGGTTTAGCCAGAGGTGGCGTTCCTGGACCACAAGTGTGGACATCGTCTTCCCCAGCACACATGCGGTGGACTTAGTGGTCCGGAGAGCATAGTCGGTCGCGGCGCGCAGCTCGTGTAACAAGCCTGGGTTAGACAAACCCTCGTGCAGCTCGGCCAGCCCTTGGTAGCGCTGGTAGGTGGCCATTGCATGCAAGGCGGAAGCAGCCTGGCCCGCAGCCTTGTAAGCTCTCGCTCCGAGGGAAGCAGATAACCTACAGGCTTTGGACGGGAGACGGGGCGGACTGCACCAAGTAGAGGCCCCACGCGGACAAAGATTGACCGCGATGGCGCGCTCCATCAGCGGGATCCCCTCATACCCCCTGGCAGCTCCACCATCAAGGGTGGTGAGGTTGGAGGCAGACGTAGCGCAGGCAGAAAAAGGTGCTACTAAGACTGCGTTAGCCTACTGTGCACCTCTGGGAAGAAGGGGACGAGAGGCTTCGAAGGCTTCACCTTCTGGTCCTCTACGTGACACCCAAAATTGTCCCTGCAGTTTTGATGTGTCAAGGAAAGAGGAGTCGTGTGGGAAACAAGACTGCGCATGCTCGAGTGACGTCACTGGCGTCACTGTCTCCGTTCGGTCACACACTGTGTGTGCTTGAAGTTTAGACTTGCTATTTACTCGCAATTTAAATCTTAATCATAAAATTCTTCCTCATTCGCTAAGTATTTGTCTCTCCTACTTAAGGTGACCAAACCCTCAATACATTTATACAAACAAAACTGCTTTAAAAACGGTCTGTCCCTCGAGCATCCGCCTGTTGTTTGTAGCTTTAGCCTGCTAGCGCCGCTGGTCAGCTAAAGCTACCGACCTCTTTTACCATACACTTTTGACTTACTGGCTTTGCTCTTTACCCCGTAAAATGTCGCTTCCGTCTCTGTCCTTGTGTGCAGGAGAAGCATCGATGGAGGCAGTGGAGCTGGAGCTGGAAGAAGTGGAGTCCCAGATCCGGGCGCTGGTGGTAAGACGGTCGCGGCTACGGGAACAACTTCTTGTTGTACCTAATTCTAAGGCCGTCTCATCACCTAAGGTACGTGGAAATTACAACCACATCATTCCCTCTACCTCAACCCCGCGTCCTTCTCTGTTCAGGCCCAGCGCACCCGGGGCACGGCTCAGCCAGGCGTCGTTCACGCCGACACCCGGCTACCACGGCGCCTGGGTGCAGCCGCACAAGGTGCTTCCCAGATCCCGGGGCAGAACATCTCCTCCTGTGTTCGAGATCGCCACAGAGAACCGCTTCTCCCCTCTCCGCGAGTCGGGTCCCGATGTGGCCATCATCGGTGACTCGATCGTTCGTCACGTCCGTGCCGCCTCCTCAAAAGGTAATAAAGTACGTACTTTCTGCTTTCCTGGTGCCCGTGTGAGAAATATTTCTACACAGATTCCAACCATCCTGGGCGCTGCCGAGAGCCCTGGTGCCGTTGTCCTCCACGTGGGGACAAACGACACCGGGCTCCGGCAGTCGGAGATCCTGAAGAAGGACTTCAGGAGCCTGATCGAGACGGTTCGACGCACCTCGCCCGCCACACAGATCATCGTTTCTGGGCCGCTTCCTACCTACCGCCGAGGAAATGAAAGGTTCAGTAGACTTTTAGCTCTGAATGAATGGCTAATAACATGGTGTAAAGAACAGAAATTGCTCTTTGCTAATAACTGGAATCTTTTCTGGGAGCGTCCTAGGTTCTTCCGTCCTGACGGCCTGCACCCCAGTCGAGCCGGAGCTGAACTCCTGTCGGACAACATCTCTAGATTACTTCGCACCATCTGATTAGCAGGTAAAAATTCGCAAAATTCACATTATAGCCACCTAGACTCTTGTTCACCCCACTTAAACATCAGTAACGCATATCTGGCAAATCCTATAGAGACTGTGTCTGTTCCTCGTACTATTAGATTAAGAAATAAACGTACTGTGTGCTTCAGAAAAAATCTAGTAAGAATCAAACCAGAAAAACCAGTTGAAAGTGAAAATACAAATTTCGTAAAACTTGGTCTCCTAAACATCAGGTCACTTGCACCTAAAGCACTTATCATTAATGAAATAATAACAGAAAACAATCTTAATGCACTCTGTCTCACTGAAACCTGGCTGAAACAAAATGACTATATTAGCTTAAATGAAGCAACTCCTCCAGGATTCTTATATAAACATGAGGCTCGTCAAACTGGTCGTGGTGGTGGAGTTGCATCAATCTTTAGTGATTTCCTTAATATTAAACAGAGAAACGGACTTATGTTTTGCTCCTTTGAAGTATTATCGCTTAATGTTCAGCTTCCAGATACTATGCAAAAACCTATGTTATCTCTCGCTTTAATCACCCTACATAGACCCCCAGGACCCTATGTCAATTTTCTAAAAGAATTTTCTGATTTTATTTCTGACTTACTAGTCAAAACTGATAAAATTGTAGGTGACTTTAACATCCACATAGATGACGCTAATGATACATTAGGGCTCGCGTTTATGGATTTAATACACTCACTTGGGATAAAGCAAAATGTTGTGGGCCCAACCCATCGCTTAAAGCATACATTAGATCTAATTCTGTCTTATGGAATCGAGGTTACTGACGTAGACATTATACCACAAAGTGATGATATTACAGATCACTACCTCTTACTATATAAGCTGTGTTTACCTGAAATCAGCAAACCCGCTCCAATACTCCGCCCTAGTAGAACTATTGTTCCGTCAACTAAAGATGAATTTATAAATAACTTACCTGATCTCTCTCTATTTCGTAATGCACCAGCAAACTCAAATGATCTTGATGTAGTAACCAGCAGTATGGATGCCATCTTTACTAGCACACTAAATACTGTGGCACCCATCAAATTAAAAAAGGCTAGAGAGATTAAAACTATACCATGGTATAATAGTCATACTCGTGCGCTCAAAACAGCAACCCGCGCCCTGGAACGTAAATGGAAAAAAACTAATTTAGAGGTCTTTAGAATTGCGTACAAAGACAGTATGTCCAGCTATAGGAGGGCTCTAAAATCTGCCAGGACCGAGCACCTGCGCAAACTGATAGAAAATAATCATAACAATCCTAGATTTTTATTTAACACCATCTCTAAATTAGCAAATAATCGGTCATCCTTGGAACAAACTACTCCGCCGCAAATTAGTAGTGATGACTTCATGAATTTTTTCAGTAATAAAATAGAAGGCTTTAGACAGAAAATAGGAGATGCCAAACTTTCTGCACCGGCTTATAATCCAAATCCTGTAAATATTTCATTAAATCATAATAATAACCTACACTGCTTCAAAATCATAGAACATGAAGAGTTAGTAAAAATTATAAATAGCTCTAAACCAGCTACGTGTATGCTGGACTCAATTCCAACAAAATTACTGAAAGAGCTGCTACCTGCTATAGGAGAACCTCTTCTTAACATTATCAACTCTTCTTTATCTATAGGCCATGTTCCAAACTCTTACAAGCTAGCTGTTATTAAGCCTATTATTAAGAAACCGCAACTAGACACCAACAACTTAGCTAACTATAGGCCTATTTCAAATCTTCCATTTATGTCTAAAATACTAGAAAAAGTTGTTTCCACTCAATTATGCTCTTTTCTGCAGACGAACAATATTTTTGAAGTGTTTCAGTCAGGTTTCAGGGCTCACCACAGTACAGAAACCGCCTTAGTGAAAATAACCAATGATTTACTCTTAGCTGCTGACCGAGGGTGCGTCTCGCTATTAGTTTTACTCGATCTTAGTGCGGCATTTGATACCATTGACCACAATATCCTCATAAATCGCTTAAAGTCTACAGGTGTCCAGGGACAGGCTCTACAATGGTTTAAGTCATACTTAACTGACCGCTACCAGTTTGTGAATCTTAATGGACAGCCTTCTCAAATCTGCCCAGTAAAGTCTTTGGAGGTTCACAGCGCAGTGCATAGGCATGCCTGAGTTCACTGGCTGACTCCTCTTTGATGTCATCCACTTCCTGCATTAGTCTGTCGATCTCATGTCTTGCTTCGCTCAGGTGAGTTTCAAGGGCTTTGATTCTGGCCTTCTTGTCTCTTAAGTCCACCTTCGCTTCCTTCAGTAGCTGTTCAGCGTAATCTAGCTTGTTAGCGACGTCAGCGTGGTCTGCTCTGGCTTGTTCTCTTTGTTCTGTGATGGCTGTTAGGGCTTCTTGTAGTTTGTTGATCTCCTCTGTGGTACCTTCATCCACCTCATTTGGTTGTTCCAGACGTTCCTGAGCCTCTAGCTCTAGCTGCTCGATGCGGGCTTGCAGGCGTGTCAGCTTGTGTTGGAGTTGGGAGGCGTGTCTGTCACTCAACTTGAGGGTGGCTATGAGTGTGTGACTCAAAGTACCAGTGATTTTGGCCAGCTCCTTGTGGTTGAAGCTTTGACTTGGGTCTTGCTTCATGATGCTGTTTATGTTCTCATCCAATTGGTTTTGCGTCAGGGGCTGCAGTGTTTCGGCAGCTTTAGGGAGGAGACTGCCTGTTACAACGCTCAGCCACGTTTCCAGGTCCTTCCAGTGGCCAACAGGATCTTTGGAGTGAGCCATGTTTTGCGGCGGGGGGAGGACTTAGGGTTTTAACTGACACAGACCTTGAAAAGAGATAGAGAGGAGAAAGAAAAAAAACAAGGTAGAACAATGCAAACAGAAAAGGGGAATTGTTAATGTGCAATGTTAAGTGTGTTCTAATGTTGAGTTAAGTGTGGTTCTCTGGAACTGTGGCCCTCTGGTGGGTACGCGTGTTTAACTGGTAGTCTCTGTGGAAAGAGTCAGTAGCACAGACACAGTGAGAGAACAAAGAAAACAAAAGTGATAAGGAGACTAAGGAGTAGGGTGAAAATCTGTAGTTTCCACTTTCCTAGAGAGAGGGTTCCTTTAGCTTTTGTTAAATATAAAAATAAGATTTCTAAATACCAGGACTGAAGTTGCTATTAACTTTCTTCTGAAGTGACAGAAAGTAGGACAACAATAACAGTATTGGCTTCTGAATAGGATTGACTCCGTACACCAAATAAATTGTTTCTGGATGCGTGTTTAGAATTAGATCTAACAACGCCTATCTTCTTGGTGACCTGATGAGTGAGAAAGGAGGGGTGAGATCAGACAATTTTAACAATTAAAAGTGTTCAAGTGTCCCAAACATCTATTAAATGTTTCTAAAATTCTCTGCTTTTTGACTCTCACAAGCACAATCCTTAAACCAGCATCATTAGTCTAGTTAAAAGAAGATAACTAGTAGAAAGAGAGAACAAAGGAGTTAGTTTTCTCTTAGCATTAGGTGTATTTAAGGATGTCAAAGCGGTGGCGCTGTCGAGTTGACACTACAAGAAGTGTTGGTTTTATTGTGTTATATAGTAACTGCTTAGCCTACGTAGTAGAAAAATCTGAATTTTCCTTTTGAAGTTTAGCTAATTGGAGGGCTCCACTAGATGAAAAGACTAAATTCAAATTTGAATTGAACTTAACTTTAAACCTGTAAAGAAGTAATAACTTTTATAAATTATCATTAAGATTGATAAGAACACTTATGACTAAATTAAATTAATAATTGTTATTAAAATGATACCATACATCAATGAACCATTAATGAAATTAAAATTTCAAAACAATGAAGTTGGTTAGAGTAACATTTAATGCAGTTTATCATTAAATTAAACAATTACAATGTATTTAATCAGTGAGTCTTATCCGTATAAATCAACAGTTATAGGAAATGAGTGTTCCTAGATGTTGATGAATGGAAAAAGTATTTATTCTTGAACAGGTCAGAGAGCATTAATTTATAGTCATGAAAACAAAACTATAATTCATCACTAATAAAACCAACAGCTTATGTGAGTTCAAACTGATTAAATTTAACAGGCCAGGTACAGCAGGAAAAACAAAAATAAAAATAGTAGTGATTAAACTCAGCAGTTAGATCATGCACACTTTTATTAACTTTGCATTTGTCAACTTTTCCAAGGTGAGTAAAGAGAAACAACTGAGATGCAAGAGTTATTTCAAGCATCAGCCATGCAATGCATTTAAGACCACTAAATGCTACGTGCTATCTATTAGCCTTCGCTGCTACTGGAAATGCATAGACTTCAATGCAAACGCGTTAGCGTTAGTTTAGCTTAGCGTCACGCTATGCTCTTTGTTTACAATTCAAGCTGGCGCTGGCGGGCTGCACATGCACGCTTGAATGTAATTCCGGCAAGTCTCGCTGTACTTCCGGACCAAGGTTGCTGCTATGGCAACGACCACAAAGTGGAATAATAGCAAATCTCACAGTATCACTTGAGATGACGGCGCATCTCACACTGTTCAAGCAAAAAGCACTAGTTAGATTTTATATTTTAACAGTACTGAACGATTCTCAACTTATGAAAGTGAGATAAAATTAATCAACAGGATTTCTGAGATTAATACAAATCGCGACAGAGATATGGGGGATCTCAGCACTCTGTGTTAAGTCTGTTTAGACTGCAAACACATCCGTGGATTCAAACCACAATTTTAATTGATCAATTTTAAAACTTCTCCTATAAACTACGCTAGGCAGCTCTCACTGAGCTCCGCGTTTTAAATAATTTACTAAGTATTAGCAAATTACAGGGCAACAAGAATTTAGTTAGCTATGCTAAATCAGTTACCAGGAGAAAACACAGCTGAGTTTCCATCCGGGAATCGCGGCGTACGAAATCATACTGTGAAGGCCTTATATAACGTTATGAGATAAGCACAAAGGAATACGCTTTGTCTTTCTCTACATGCGCTTTAGAGCGGCTTACAGTGTCTCGGCGGACAACTTAAATGACGTTTTACTTTCTTAACAACACTAAATGCAGTCAAGCAATAAAACAAATGGTACCACAATGAAATTGTGCAGTAGCAAAACTTTTGTTCCCTCTAATCTATTCTTTCCGGACAAAAATAGAAAAGATTAACAACGTGATTTCTGGGTTTTGTGCTTTAAAAGTTAGATCTGCTTGCCCGAATTATTCTCCACCACTATGTAAGAATCAGCTCTTTGGTTTAAATCATGTTTAAACTTTGGGGATTCGAATCAAAGATTCGAACATGATTCACATAGAATTATTTAAAGCTTACACTTAACTTAAGTATTTGTCCAGCAAATAGAACGTTTAGTGTAAAGCAATTCTGTATTATATTATTACGTGGCCAACAATAACAATATAAAAACAGTATCTAATTATTTATTAAGCAAGGTAGCAGTATCTCAAGCTGAGGCATTAACTTATAAAGCACACAACACACCAACACGGATCTTAAAACGAAACAAAAGTTTATTGCTACTCTATAACACAAAGTACTAATCTACGTAAAACAAACAAATGCACATACATACACACACGCACAAGCAGTTTGAGGAGAGTTTTGACTGAGTGGAATCAACTTCTAGCCTTTGCTAAGTTCTTAGCATTGTAACCTGAGAGAAACCGTAAAAGCAGAGAATTTTGCTATTCTTTACTACTTAAACATAATTCACACCAGATTCAGTAATGGGTAGAAACCTTGTTTGTGCTACTTGCGTTCTGATGTAATTTTTGGTTTCCTCGACTGGTCCAAAGGGAAATCCCGGCGAAGCTGATTGGTCAGCGTAGCAACTTCAGTGACGTGATGGAATTCCCTTGTCGGTGAAGAGGGGTTTCCTTAGTCGGTTGCTAGGGATACGGATGTTGGACAAAGCGGCGTTCGAAGTCCTTCCTGGGTTCCTGTAGTTAGGATGAGTTTCAGAGTTTGGATGTGTTGACCCGATGGCTTGTTGTTGAAGCGGTTGCACAAGCAGATCGGGGGTCGAGCCGGCAGCAAGTGAAGGTCGCGGTCTGCTCCGTGATGTAACGAGGCTTCCGGCGAGGCGATGTAACGGCCACAGCACGAGAAGAGCGACGTCCGGGCAGCGACGGCGGTGACGACTGGCAAAGATGACCGGCAAAAGACGACGATGAAATTCCTTTGTTCAAAGTTTTATAGGCTTTGGTAGAGGCTGGGTCTACACAATACTTGTCCAATCAGAGAAGGTGCGGGGTGGAGTCACACCCCAATTCTGCCCTCTAGGAGGCCGGGTTGACACCTGGTGTGGGTGCTGCTTTGATAGCATAGTGGTTAAAATAAAGTCTTATAACGTCAACACTTTTCATAGTATGGTTTCTTCATATAAACCAATGCATTTAAAATGTTCCTAGCTTTCAATCGATACCAAACATAAAGTATTTCACAAACATTCTGTAGATTTCGTTTGTCACTGAGGGCTATTACTCAAGAACTATCTATAACAGTTTTGTTAAACACATGGAACATGTACACACAAAAACCTACAGAAACATAAAGTAAACATACATTACTCAAATAAACTGTTTTACTTAAATGTCCATTAAACTTTGGAAGCGTTTCTGATCGCTTCTGTGTCTGCCTGAGAATGTGTATTCCTTGCAGACGCCAAAGGACAAGCGAACCAAAAGGTACTTCTCAAAAACCGGTTTGGTGGGTTTTGATTGTAGAGCCTCTTATTGTTTTAGGGTGTAAAGTTAATTAACACGCAACTGTGATGTTGACTGGCTAGGTATCCTGTGGATTTGCCTTTTGCTGGGTGCCTGTGGATTGCTTTGAAAATGAAATCAATCTCAGACTCGTAGGCACCAACCAATCTTTTAAGGATAACATGGTCTGTGGCTTGTTCGGTTCTGGAACGATCCGTTGACTCACTACATTAGACAGCAATCTAACTTTTAAAAACCATATATCCCATGTCACAAAAACTGCCTTCTTTCATCTGAGAAATATCGCTAAATTACGAAATATGCTATCCATCTCAGATGCAGAAAAGCTAGTCCATGCTTTTATGACTTCGAGACTGGATTACTGTAATGCTCTATTTGCTGGCTGCCCAGCATCCTCTATTAACAAACTTCAATTAGTACAAAATGCAGCAGCCAGAATTCTGACCAGGTCTAGAAAATATGATCATATAACCCCAATTTTATCCTCCTTACACTGGCTGCCTGTTAAGTTTCGTATTGAATTTAAAATATTACTTCTCACCTATAAAGCTCTAAATAATCTAGCTCCTGTTTATCTAACCAACCTTCTGTCTCGCTACAAACCAACTCGCTCTTTAAGATCTCAAAATTCAGGGCTTCTGGTAGTACCTAGAATAGCAAAATCAAGTAAAGGAGGTCGAGCCTTCTCTTTCATGGCTCCTACACTCTGGAATAGCCTTCCTGATAACGTCCGAGGCTCAGACACAGTTCAAAACTAGATTAAAGACCTATCTGTTTAGTAAAGCATACACTCAATGCATCACCTAGCGGGTTCCACACTGGCTTCTGCATCTTGCTTATATACACTATGAACAGCAGCTACGCTAATTATTCTCTTTATTCTCTATTTTCACCTGGGGATACTCATCCCGAGGTCCTCAGATTATGCGGAGTCACTGATTGGACCCAAGACCAGCGACGTGATGATCCCAAGGATTCCATATCCAGGACCAGGCCATATCCTGAGCTGCTGCTGCGCTGATGGTCGTGGGGAGTGGAGAACATGAGTCTGATTCCAGCGACGCTCCAGGGACAGACGAGTCTTCACTGAGGCCATCTTCCAGCCTAAACCACGGCGAATGAAGTTCTGCACAAGACTTTTGGCCAGCGGAGAAATTAAAATGGTCGTGCCCAACTGAGTCTGGTTCTCTCAAGGTTTTTTTTCTTCACTCCCATCAGGTCAAGTTTTTTTTCCCCTCTCCGCTGTCGCCACTGCCTCGCATGGTTCAGGATTGGTAGAGCTACGCATCAATGAATTGGCTCTTCAGTGTTTGAACTCTCAGTAATGATTAAATCACACTGAACTGAGCTAAACTGAACTGAACTGAACTTAAACACTAAAACCTGAACCACACTGTTCCAGTTACTGAACCACACTGTTCCAGTTACTATGACCATTTATGTGAAGCTGCTTTGACACAATCTACATTGTAAAAGCGCTATACAAATAAAGCTGAATTGAATTGAATTGAAAATTGAATCAATCTGTAATTCATTCTTAGGCTGTTGCCAAAGTCATTTGATATACAACAACCTGTATGAAATGTATGTGCTTTAAAATAAATCTGTTTTCAATTTGCATTTTTTTTTTCATTTTCAGTTTGTGCTGACAGCAAAATACTTCGAAATTAATGGAAAAAAATGTTCCCCTTCATAAGGGAACTCCTACGCGTGTCTGTATAAACGGACTTTGGGAGCGCTTTAGACGACCAATGACTTCCGAAGATATGAAAACGAGCCAATGAAATGCCAATTGAATTGGCAGGGCTTAGCTCCTCAGCTGAAACTGATGAGCCAATTAGGGCTATATCAGAATTCTTGCTTCAGACCCGATCTGAGACTGAAGAACCCTT